CAACTTGACCGAATCTATCAGGTTGTTTTCTATTGCGCTCAGACCTACGTAATTCTGGCGTTTGAGAATCTACGATATTATCGGATTTATTACTTAAATTTTCACTATTATAATAATTTTCAATTTTCAAATCATCTTTTTTTGTAAATTCGTCCGATTCCAAAAACAAATCTGACTTTTCACAATCATTATTATAACCACTAAAACCTATTAACTTATTATCATCTTCAATTATGTCAACATGACGTATAGTGATTACTTTATTATTTATCAATACTTTGTACTCAACATAATCATAGCCTATCAGTTTACCAATATCCGCTTTCATATTCCATTTTGACTTTCTTTTTACTTCGGGTACTCTTACGAAAATTTTACATTCACATATTTTCAAATTTTTTACACTAGGCCTTTTTCCAAAAAATATTTCAAATTTAATCAATTTTAATTCAATTGTCTTTAATTCAATTGTGTTCGCTATAGTACGATTGATTAAGTAAGCTGCCGCTTTTACGATTTTAGGCCAAAATGTTTTATTCTGCTTTACCCTTCAAACCGGGAGCTTAATTACTAATCTAGCCATAAAATTCTAATTTTACTTCTTTCCTACTCCTAGTTACTACTTAATTTATTCGAGCACCAGGTATCGAATTTAGCGTATTCTTTGTAAACTATTTTTGGAGGAGCCTTGCCGGGAAATTGCAGTATAAATTCACTCTAATAATAATTTATTTATTTATTTCTATTCTTTTATCATGTTCTAATGACTTGAGATGTTTTGCAAAGGGACACTCCAAAATTTGCACCAACACGTTCTTATACTGTTTGCTTAAGTGTAACACCGTGCAGTAACGACAATCACGTACTGCTGATAACGGTACTTGACACACTGCACAATATCCGAAGGTGAATCGGTTATCTGTATTAAGACTACCATAATCTATCTTAAATAGATGCGGATTAAAGATATCAGTACTTTCACTGACGGTTTGAAACAGAAAATGAAGAAAATTTTGGCTCCTGAATAAATTATTATTTAGTACTACAGAATATATTCAGGATATTGAAATATCTCATTGTTGCTTTTTAATGTAAAACGTCTGCCTCTGGCTTGTTGTTGTGCCACTGTGAGTCCTGGTATTACTGGACCTAGCAGTGAGTACCCCATCTTTGTTACACTCTGCTTGCATATTTCTTGAAATTCCGATGAATTATTATATAATATTTCCCCGATTAATTTATACGTGTTGGTTGGCTGGAAGGTTTGCATTTTGTATCCGTATTCACTTGCTGTTTTGTTCAACCAGCAATGCAAACAACACAACAACGTAATCATTTGCAGCGATTGATTTGTTTGTCTCAGATTGTTGAAAAACTGGAAAAGACATCATTTTGTACACGACAAACTGTTCGGCATCTATGAACGGTAGTACTATTTCTACTATTAGTTCTCTTTCATACATCATAAAATATAACTGTGCTATATCAGCAATATTTGCTGTATTAATACCATTAGGTTTAACAATGGATTTTAAAAATGATGTCTTTTCAATTTCATGTACTACTGCTTGTAAAGTGTGCATAGCTAATAAATATTTGTTATATTTAAACATTTCAACCATTCATAATATAATTTCTTTGCTTTCATGTTGTATTTATTTAATGAGTGAAATTGTTTTGTGAAAATTAGGAGCCTGATTTTTGTCTGTTATGTTTGGGTTCTGTTTTAACAATTGCACACATCTTTTTAAATAGTCAGTTTTCAAGTTTACTGATCAAATTTGTTCATGCAGGCCATTGTCAAAGAAATAAGTGTTCGGTTCATCGCCCATAATATAAGATAGATCGTTTATACGCATATTAGTTACTCTTTCTGTAACTTTTTTGAGTATTACTCAATGCGTAACTGTTTTGAAAAGATAAAGCTTTTCCTCCCCCCCTAATTTTGTCAGCATGCAAAGTATTGACAAGACGATTCATGGAATCGTCGACACGTTTAATATCTCTCAAATGATCCTTAACATGTTGTATAATCGAACTTGCTTCTATGTTGGATACATTATCTTGTACGAAGATGCTATTTAAAGTAGTTACTTGATTAGTAAGCACTTCGTTCCAAATGAAAATGTGTTGCAGGTCAATGGTTGTTAGTAAACTCCAATTTTCACGAGTAAAGGCTATACGTTCAATTTTATGAAACGCAATACCTGGATTGTCTTCAATCAGATGTACGACGGGGTTTTCTTCTCGTCCCCTAACTACCATAAATCCGAGAAGAAAATACAGGTTGATTGCTGCTTTTTTCATCTTGTTTGTTTTTTTTTTGTGTGTTCTGCAAACTGTAATTCGATATAGATTACAATTATTATTCGATAAATTATATTTTTTTTGATACAAGCTTATAGGACCATTAACGTCAAATACACTATTGTTAATCCATGCTTGGGTTCGATCGTGTATTATCGTTATTACAATTTTTCTTAAATAATACTCTTTTACAAATTTTATCTAATGAATCAAATACATTATGTAATTAAAAAAAGATCTTTGAATGTTTTGATATTGATTAGCTGCTAAATCTGTTGCGTTTGCAATATTTTCTAATTCATTTAGATTGTTGCTAATTTGTTCAGCGTGTGCAACTGCCTGCTGTAATGAACTATAAAATTTGTATTGACATATTTATCTTTTTATGCCTGTGTTTAGGTATTCAACAAAACACATCGTTGCTAATTGTTCTCTTTCTTCCATAGTGTCTATTACTTCATCTAAATGTAACTGAGTTAAATGGCCTGTAATCTTGTATGATTTTAATAGGTTTATGGCTCTTTTTCCAAATTTATGAGGTGATTCGTTATTTCTTTGGGTCATACATATTAATTTTGTCTTTATACAATTTTCTCTTTAGCATATGATAAAATGATAATTCTGCTCCGGGACGTCCGTTCAATGATACACTTTTTGCTACTTTATTTAAAATCGCGGCTTGTTCGTTTGGAAACATGATATAGCTTTTTAATTTTTTAATACTGACAAATTATAAATTCCGCTGTTACTTATGTCAATGGGTGCTAGATATTTCCATGTTTCTTTTGTCTGAGGCTTTAAAACTCCTGGTCCGTCGCTAAAATAGGTCGGTCGTGGTAACATCTTAAACCATCCACTTCCCACCTTATACATTACTGGTACTGTCTCATCACAGGCTGTTTCTGTACCGAAAAATTTTAATATGTGCGTGCGAGGTGTCATAAACATAGGTCTACCGTTGCGCTCTACCGGTAGTTCTAGATAGCACTCTGAAGAGTTTCTTGCCCGCACGTCTACTGGTAAGCACTTAATTATGTGAATGACCTCGCCTGCGAGTAGGCTCATGTAACCTGGTCTGTTCATCAAATAATAGGCCAATAAATCCGGGCTAATTGTTGCGATATTTAGTGCATTCATTATAACTTTCTTTTCTAACTGGCACTGTTGAAATAACACGTCATAATATAACTTTTGTAAGCTTTTTCTTACGTGTTTTTCAAAGAAAAGTATCTTTGCATTAAAATATGCAAATAAGTCGATGTTTTTAATATTTTTATCTTTTATTGCCGGAAAGGTATGTTTATTTTCATCGTCTAGGATAACAATTCTCGGATGTTCTGTTTTGATTAAGACAAACCCGCATTTAGGTAATGCTCCTAGATCTTTAAACGCGAAGGACACTCCTTGTGTATGTAACACGTATAGTGATCGCCTTTCGCTATCCTGTTCCATAACTTTTTGTACGTATCCGGTGTAAAGTTCTGTGAACTTATTTTCTTGTCACCCGTGCATGGGAATTGGGTTCCATGCACGAGTGACAACGTTATCTATGCATTTATCGTCACTGAATTTACAAACCGTACCTGTTTATAATGTGATTTTATTATTATCTAGTGATACTGTTTCCCAGTGTTCTTGCAACGAAATTTTGACATATCCTGTTACAAAAACGTCTTTAAACTCACCATATGGGTCATTATAGTAGCCTGCGTTACTGCATCTACCCGTGCTACCAGCTGATCCTGCGAAAGTTGTAGCGTGTACTACTAAATTATTCACTAGTAAGGATTGAAAGAGGCGATCTCCTATAGATATTGATCTGTGTACATGCATTCTTTCGCATTCGTCTCTTGATATTTCGCGTAAAAATTTTATTCTTCCTAATCCAACTTCCATATTATGATTATTATAGCCGCATCTCTTAGCGTCCCTATCTATTTCTATTTTGCAATAGCGCACTCGCACCGATGAATATTTATTGAGTTGCAATAGTGATACTTTGATCCGCGTAGAATTGACGATTGGTGGTGGCAATTCGCAGTCTGCAATATCTATCAAAGAAAAAGATGTAATATTGGCGAACTTCTGCGCACAATCATAAGCAATGTTGGCCGTCGCCTTGGTGACAAGTTCCAAGAGCAGTAGGAAAATTAGAAGACTCATCATCTGTAAACAATAAATTTAAGTTATTCCTTAATAGATCTTAATCAGAACATACAATCGGCGCGATTGTCTGTTAAATTTTGCAAAACGATTATTTGGTTGGCCTTATATGCGACATGCGTAAACGGTTTGTATGTACAATTTTGCTGCAGTTTTTGCTGATCTCAATTCGTACATTTCCGTTGGGCCATACTTCCGATACCAGATATGGACCAGAGTATTGGTCATCGAATTTTTTTGGTTCGGAGCTACTTAAAAGCCAGACATAATCGTTTACCTTAATTTCTCTCGGGTTGATTTTTTTTGTCGTAATAATGTTTTGACTTAATCTTTGCAAGTGTAATTTTTCCACGAGCAATTTGGTGTAAAACATTCAAACGGTTAATTAGTTGTGACATATAATCGGCATAAATAGGCACAAGATCCTCCGGTTCTGGCGGAGTTGCTGATGGTACTCTTGCAACTCTTGCAAACATGAGTTCATATGGAGTATAATGCGTAGCCTCATGTCTGCTAGTGTTATAATTGAACTAATTGAACATTGCCATTTCTACAAATTCATCCCAATCTTCAAACTTATTTGTAAAAACTTTTAAATATTCGTTTAATGAGGATTGTTGTCTTTCTTTTACTCCATTGGATTCAGGATGAAAAGCGCTTGTGCGGAATTGTTTAATACGAAATCTTTTTGCAACTCTTTTCATTAAGTTTGACAAAAAATTTTGCCCGCAATCGGTAAGCAAGCCGTTTGGTGCTCCGAATAGACAGACCACACGTTTAATAAAAGCATCTGCTATAGTAATAGCCGTTTGATCAGGTATTGGAATACCTATAGCGAAACGTGTAAACATGCACTGAAATGTTAAACAGTAACGATTATTTAATTTGACCGTTGGCATCAGTCCCACAATGTCCATTGCTGTTTTGAAAAATGGAGAATCTGTGACGACCATCTTCTGTTTAGTTTTTTCACGTACTAATTTTTTTGTTTGACAATCAACACATCGTTGTATGAAACTAAGTACGTCTTCTTTAAGATGTTCCCAGTTTGATTTGTGTCGAATACGATTGAATGTTTTATTAACTCCCGTGTGTCCCCCGACTGCTGAACAATGTGCTTCTTGTATAATCTCCGCTCTCTCATTAGGTAGGGAATGTTTTACCTCTCCGGTGCATGCTATGACCTTGATATCTAGTTTTCCAAGTTCATCTCGTATACAGTTAATAAATTTACTGAATAACAGGTTCTCTATGCTTTCACTTTTGGCTAAAAGTGACTACCTTGTTTTCATCAATGATGTTTCTTAAATTCATGAGCAATACTTATTACATGAGTAATACTTTTAGCATAATAATTATATCCTCGGTGTTTCTCGTTGTTCGCACCTTAGCGGCATCACTAAATGATACCTTTTTCCAACTTTAATTAGTTTGGAGTATCCTACTTTTAAATTTTCTAATCTTGGTAATTTATTTACTTTTTTTAATAGACGAGCTCCTTCATCCAGAGGTTCTCCTTTATCATTGACAAAATACAAATAATTATCTTTTCTCATAAACAATTTTTCGCGACAATAAATGATGTTGCTTTCAGGTAATTTATTTTCTATTTCATTCTCATTTTTTATGATCTCTTCTGTTGCGTCTATCTTAGTTTCGTTTGATTCGTATTTATCCTCTTCTTTGATAGTTTCTAAACTGGTTTTTAATGGCACACCGGTCCCCTTGTTTTGTACGTCTGTTGCTTGGTTCTCGATTTGTTGCGTACACGGTGTGTTGCCATTGGTGTTCTCTGAGGTTTCCGACCTCTTGTCTTCCCCTTTCTGTTGTGTTGTTACCCCACTGGCACTTTGGTCTCATCTCATTTTCTGTTTACTAGGTTTCAGCGTGCTTATAGCTTCTTCGTATTTAGCGCTAGGTTTTCGTCCAGTGTGCGATCGTGTGATTATCCCTTCCGGTTCCGGTACTTTATCATCATTTGCTTCTAATCCTTTTACTATATTGATTGGTTCTTGCATTAATTGCGGATCTAATGTATGTAATTCTATTGGGTTACGAGACAAAACATCTGCGTTTATATAGGTAGCTCCGGCTTTATATTTAATTTCATATTGAAAATCTGCCACCTTCAGTCTCATTCTAGTTACTCGTGAGTTGGAATCTTTGTGCGATCTTAATCCAACTAGAGGTTTATGATCAGTAATGACGGTAAATTTTTTTGCATATAAGTACGGTCGAAATTTAAGAATTCCGAAAACAATTGCTAACATTTCTTTCTCGAAAGTGCTGTAACATCTTTCTGCGTTATTTAACGCTCGTGATACATAAGCTACTGGCTTATCAAAGTCGTCCTCATCCTGTTTCTGAGATAAAATGCATCCTACACAGTGTCCACTAGTATTTGTTGTTAAAATAAATGGTTTTTCGAAGTTCGGGTGAACCAATATAGGTGACTCACACAATTTGCGTTTTAACAGTTCGAAGGCTTTCTGCTGCTCTTCTTCCCATATAAACTGCTAATCTTTTCTTAACAGTTTGTTTAAAGGTTGCGCGATGTCAGAAAATTTGTCAATGAATCGTCTGTAGTAGCTACACAGGCCGATAAATTGTTTAATATTCTTTGGGTTTCTCGGCGTGGGAAATTGTTGGACGGCTAAAATGTTATCGTTGTGAGATAGTAAACTGTCTTTCGAGATTACATAACCTAGGTATACTACCTCTGATTTAAAATACTCGCATTTTTCCGGATTTAATACTAAATTCGCTTTTCTTAGACGTTCCATTAATTCAATAATACTCTCACAATGTTCCTCGATAGTCTTACTATGTACGCAAATATCATCGAAGAAAGTTATTACTCCTTTCATTTCCTGTCGTTAAAAGGTGGATTAATGATAGAAAGACTGGTGTGCTTGTTTCCAATCTGAAAAGTGACCTTATAAACTGGAAAAGGCCTTGGTCGCATTGAAATGCTGTCACCTGCCTGTACTCTTTTTTAACTAGGCATTGATGATATCCTGAATAAAGGTCAAAGATCGAGTATATTGTGAATCCTCCTAACGCATCTAACTGATCGTCTACATTCGTAGTGTATTTACAGCGTGGAAGTCTATTACTGATCTTTTCTTGATTACGCCTTCAGCATTCCTTTTCTTGTCTACGCAAAATATTGGAGACGAGTAAGGACTAAAAAAACCTTCATCAATTTCTTTTCTTAACTCCGTGGGTTGTCTGAAAGGTTTTATACGAATAGGTACTTTCGACGTTAATGGAATTTCGTGTTGGAGTAGATTAGTATATCATAATTTATCTCCAGGTAAGTGACATCTGTCGTTAAATTTATTTATTATATCAACTATATGTTTTTTTTTCATTTAAATTCAAATTATCTAGTTGTGACATACTGATTATTCTTGATGCCCTATTTTCCTTATTCTGATTCATACTTATTTTGGCTATCCGCACGTGTTCGTTAATAGTAGAAGGCATTCGTGTTTTCCCCTTCAATAAAAACTTTACGGCGACCAAAAGTTGTAAAACCATTCGTTTTTTATTGGACTTTTGAAGGTGGCTTATAGTTTTATATTTTCGGCTATTTGTGCCAATCCCTCTAATAATTCTTGAATGTATTCTTTATCTGTGATTTTGTCCAATGTTTCGAGCAGGGTGGTTGCAGAATGAATTACTGATAAAAAGTTGCTCACGGAATATGGTTTATTACTTGTGTATGAATTCGTATTATTTAATACGTTATTACCTTTATTAACCCTTTCTAATAGGATAGTTTCGTCAGTATTATCGTAACAATCTACACTTTTGCGATCGTTGCTACTACTTTCTCTAATTTTCGACTTATAATATGGTTGTATACTCAATTTATTTTCTGTCATTGAGAATTTCGTGGGGTGAATTTTATCATCTACAAAATTTTTATCGAGGGTGCTTTCATTATGGCTTTGCTCAGTCCTACTTATTATATTGTTCTGAATAAATAATGAATTAGCTTTCGCGGAACTTGGGCGTGCAATCCCGCATTCTTTGTTAGCTAATGCTAAATTACAAACTGAGTACATACTTTGGTTTTTTCTAATTTCTGATTTTTTACAATTTTCAACATTAGAATTTCTAATTTCGAATGTATAGATTTCAGGTTCACTAATTTTAACTTCGCTAGCTTTTTCCAGTCGAATTCCGGAATTATAAATCTCAGATTTTTTGTGTGGCAATTTACAGATTTCAAATTTTTGCAATTTTACTCCAATTTTATTTGAACGATTGTCTTCGTAACCCCTCTGTCTAATTTTATTGACATAGTTTTTATCTGGCTCAAGATCTATCTTTGATTCTTCATTGCTTTCTTTATTAATGGGAACTCTTCTCGCAAATATGTCTAAATTGTTACGAATTTTTACTTGATTTCTGACTACTCCAGCGTAAGTTTTGCAGTTTGTTATTGATTTTGAATAACTATTATCATCTTGCGATGTTGTATATTGATTATCAGTAGTTGCATTGTTTATGAATAAAGAAAATACTTTATCAGTGATTTTTAAAATATTGTTTTTATAATCTATTTTAGCGTTGAATTTACGCAAACATTCACTGCCGATTAGTCCGTCTTCTTCAATAGGTAAATCATCGGGTACCATGTGAAATTCGAATTCTAAATCTTTTATTGTAATATTTATTTTTCCTTATGTTACTACACTGTTACGTGTAATACCTCGCAACTCTAAAATATTCAATTTATTCAGATATGCTTAGTTTGATTTCTTAGACCATTTCAGTAGAGATGGTCCAGCACCAGTATCTAGCATGATAGAAAGACTGATATTTTGATTTTTATCTTCTAAAATGAAAGTTGGTGACTTACTATTCAAGTTTAACAACACCAGTCTTTTCGTTACTTCTAATTTCTTTGTATTCTTACTTAAGTTCGGCGCTCCGTCTGGCTGGTTATTTCCCCGATCGCGCCTGTCACCTAGAAACCACCGGCGTTTCCCTGTTGTTTTTTCTTTTATTCATTAAAAATTCTTTTGTTACATCTTACTTTCCAGTGACCTTTAATACCGCAATAATTACAAATAGTCGGATCTATGTTTGGATTTCCTGGTCCGCAATCATTAGAATTAAAATTTCCCTGGTATTGATTTTTTGATGCAGAGTTCTGATTTGCTTGGGGCGAAGCTACTTGCTGGCTCATTCTTTCTCTATTGGCTGTACTTTGACTATTCATTTGCTTTTGGCCTTCGTTACGATTGAATCTTTCATTTCTAAATTTCGTACTGCTATTGTTACGGTAAAAACAAGTACTTATCTGCTAAATAATTTGACAACTTACAAATTTGATATACTTGTGAGTTATCTGTTTTTACTAATTTTACACTTTTAATGTTTACTAATTTTTTTTTGCTTCTGCAGGTACTTTTACTGTCTGGTTCAGATTGTTGGGTGCCTGTGTTGCGAAATCGCGTTCAATCTCTATCGCTTTTGCTGTTGCTTCTTCGAGATTTTTTGCCTGTTCCATTCGCGCTTTAATCAGCCAGTGTAAGCCGCGAATAGAAAACTTAACTTTATCTTTTTCTAATTGATTTAAGAATCCAACATTATATCTTTTTTCGCGCACTGCTGCGCTTACTAATTCTCTTTTATTACTAATTTATTACAAATATCGTTTTAACTCTGTTTGAGAATTTCACTATATTTTCTGAGGCTTTTTGCTTGAGCATACCCAGCTCACCTGATAATTGGTTGAAAGTTTTGTCTGATCCGAAAAGGTGATCGAAATACATTTCAATCTCTCTAATTGTCTCAAGATGTTTTCCACGCATACTTTTTAATGCATCCCCGTATGATCTCATTTTAACTAATCTTACTAGATCCGCTTCATTTCCGTGTGGAATAACATTATAAGCTTCCCAACAACCATCTAGAAAATCATGTAGCATAATGCAGTATCCATCGTATTTAGGAATGAAATCTACGATATCTTTCAAACCTACATTTCTCAAAGGGCTAATTGTAGAATCTTGTACTGTACGGGTACCTCTTGTGGAGTTGAATGATAAATCGGTCTTATGATGGCAAATTATCTGCATGTTGACTTTGGTGTAAAGTATTCTGAATTGCTACTTTTCTCGTTTTGACTTTTTTCAGTAAATTTTTGTATTAAAAATTTAACGTTTTTATGATTTATAACAGGAATTTCGTTTCTTGTTTTATTTATTTCGTCTTCGTTATCATTGTCAATTGTCGAGTTTGTCAAAGCTTGGAAATATTCCCTTGACTCGTCTTCCGTTATTTCCGTGTTTGATTCAATTATTGATTCAAATTTATTTTCAAATTGTACTACTTTGTCAGTACGATTCACTGCTTCTAAAATTTCTTTCAGACTTATACTATATTACGTTTTGTTAATTCTTCTACAATGAGTAGTAAAAGTGGATCTTGACATGAATTCCTTATTAATTCTTCATTTATATAATGTTCTAAAATTTTTATTAATAAATAAAAGCTAGTTGTTGTTTTTTTGCCCTCTATTTCGAAATCTAAATCCTGACGAGCGTGCAGAAATTTTATACATTCTAGTAATGTTGGTTCTTTACTAGTTATAAAATTCGGATCTACTTTTCCTATGCAGTTTCTTAAAACTAATAGTACTTCCTCTTTTCGTTTACCTCTCAAATCGGTTCCCGTAGCCATGTTTGTAAAAAAAATTACTTTTGCCTAGTCCTGCTTTTCGTTAAAAAAAATATACCCGGAGGGGTCCCCAATTGTTACATCTCACGTAACGGTCGCGAATTGACAAGAGTTACTCAAACGTGACTGTCTCTTTTCGATCAAGGCGTAAGCGCTTTACTACGGGTGTGAGACTAAAACGAAAGAAATATAACTCTCAAATAAATTATTAAAGGAACGGAGTTAAAATGTTTATAGATCAAATTACGTAATCAAGGTCCGTAGTCTTACAGAGTCGAATATAGAGTGTGTGTTGCAATTGCTTTGCGTCCTTTTTTATAGTACAAAATACATAAAAACTAATCAATAAAGGGTTAAACCCAGAAGGGGTAAGTGCGTCACTGAGAATAAAGTCAGCTATTAAATGACTATTTGTTTTTAAATTTTACTTAATTAAATCCACTGAGAGTTCGCGAAAGATTAGTATAGATAAGGAAGTAGGATTAGTGCAATAAATTGATAAGGGTACTTGAAATTCTATTATATTTAGAAATTTAATTAACGTATGCTAAATAGACCACGCTGACGCTCGTCAAGGGCGTAAAAAACCCTAGTCGTAAGTAGGGAAAAAGCCCAAGGCGAACGTTAATACAATATACGAGGTGTGTTCAAAAAGTAAGGTGACTTTGTATTTTTAAGAAAAAATATTTATTTATTTATCAATATTTATGTTGTCCCCTTCAAAGTAATCCCCCTCAGATACAATACACTTATGCCAACGGTTTTTCCAATCCTCAAAGCACTTCTCATAAGCACTTTTCGGTGTAGCCTTGAGCTCTTCCAGCGATGCAGTCTTTATCTCTTCAATCGTTGCAAATCTCCGTCCTTTCATAGGTCCTTTTTTAGTTTTGATAACAAGAAAAAGTCACATGGGACCAAATCCGGTGAATATGGTAGCTGAGGCATGATTGTGGTGTTGTTTTTGGCCAAAAAATCTCTCACAAGCAAAGATGAGTGAGCAGGGGCATTATCGTGATGCAAAAGCCATGAATTGTTTTTCCACAATTCTGGGCGTTTTCTTCGTATTACTTCTCGCAAACGGCGCATAACTTCAAGATAATACTGTTTATTGACCATGCGTTCATATGGTAAGAACTCCTGATGCACCACACCATGGTAATCGAAAAAAACAGTGAGCAAAACTTTGACATTTGATCGAACTTGGCGTGCTTTTTTCGGTCTTGGCTCATCTGGGCTCTTCCATTGGGACGATTGGACTTTGGTTTCGATATCATAACCATATACCCATGATTCGTCACCAGTTATTACCCTTTTGAGTAAATCTGGGTCGTCGTTGACGTCATTCAACAGTTCTTGAGTGATGCTCATACGACGGTTCTTTTGGTCAAAATTTAGAAATTTCGGAACAAACTTCGCTGATACACGTCTCATGCCCAAAACGTTAGAAAAAATTTCATGGCACGAGCCAAGCGATATACCAACATCCTCAGCAACTTCTCTGATAGTGATTCGACGATTTTCCAGAACAATTTTCTTCACTGCTTGAACGTTTTCATCAGTTGTTGACGTGCTTGGGCGTCCAGAGCGAGGCTCGTCATTGGCATCTTACCGGCCATCTTGGAAGAGTTTGTACCACTTGTAAACATTTTTTTTACTCAGAACAGTTTCACCGTATGCCACCGTCAACATTTCAAGTGTTTTGGAGAACTTTATTTTATTTCTTACACAAAATTTGATGCAAATCCTTTGATCCATATTTTTCAATAGTAAGAAATCGCCGAGCACGCAAAACACTTATAACCTTTACGCCTCTCACAACCAAACAAAAAATGCTATACACTTGAAACTTGGTACAGATGTTCGAGAAGAGTGTACCAACATAACAAAATAAAAAAATCGATAATCGAAAGTACGTTGCCCGTGAAATTTGAAAAGTCATCTTACTTTTTGAACACACCTCGTATATATATGAACAAACAATAATATAATTAATCGCAAACCTTAATACAATGGCACACAGCGTAACACACTTACACACACATAGACAAACGTAGAGAGCTCTCAGATGATGTGCGCAGATACTATGATGCCGCAGCGAATGTGGAAGAGCGCACCATTATGGTGACCACCTAAGGCGACCTCGACGTATCGAGGACGGGGACAGCCCTCGCCGCCACGTGGAACTTGGGCACAGCGGCCGCGTGGAGGTAACGCTCTCGGGGACGCGCTAGGACGTGACTCACTACAGCCGCGTAGGGCTGAGTCCAACGCTTCACGGACTTGCACTACCCACACTCGTTCTAACACTCACACGCAGTACTAGCGTACTGCCCTGATCAAAATGAACATAGCTAAGGTAAAACAAGAGAAAAGACTGAGCTAACACTTAACCCTGCAGGATTGAGAAGCGACTCTCTCGTTGTCTATCGACAGACTAACTCGCTGCGCCCTGTCAGAAAACGATGACGAGTTCTCTTCCTTTGTCGCCAAGAAAATTAAGGGAAAGTTTCGGGTGTTTGGGTCAGTCGAGTCGCGCCAGACGTTATCGGATTGCCATCGCAGAGTGTTGCATCTGCTCGACACGTGTGGGCACCACGACTGACAATATGTGCCACACCTGTACCCTTTTTGCCGAGTTTGTCTCGCGGTTAAATTTCAGAGATTAGTGCTCGTCGACCACACAGCACTTTCTCCTTTACAAATTACCAATACAATAGGGTAAAAGAAAAATGCTGCATCTCTGAACATACCGCCCGCCTTCGTCGACTAGACGAATACACAATACATATAAAATAACACACTACAACTAACGATAAATACATGGATAAATCGTCATAAGACTTAGACATTTACATCTTGGATCCCAAGGTTCCCTTGTCCGGTGGTTCGAGAGAAAGGGGCGACATACGAGCGATATGCCGGCGTAATAAATTGCTTACAGTCTTGACCGTGACTACCCGCACTAAATTATCAGGACCGGGATGTACTTCGATTATACGGCCTAGTGGCCATTTGGAAGGGGGGTATCGGTCATCCTTAATCAGCACTAATTGTCCTACTTTGAAATTTTCATTAGGATTTCGCCATTTTCCTCGCTCCTGTAGATGTTGTAGGTAATCAGTAGACCACTGCTTCCAAAACTGATTTCTCATTCGCTGCATCAGTTGATAGCGATTTAGTCGATTCTCGGGAACATTCGGAGATTCCTCGTCAGGGATGACAACTAATGTATCACCTATGAGGAAATGCGCTGGAGTCAACACATTCAGATCGGCTGGGTCGGTATTCAATGGACACAACGGTCGCGAGTTTAAACAGGCTTCAATTTCGGTCATGACTGTAGAGAGTTCCTCGAAGGTTAAGGTATGCTCGCCGATGTCTCGTTTCATGAGATGTTTTGTTGACTTGACGCCAGCTTCCCACAAGCCGCCGTAGTGAGGGGTGTTAGGTGGTATGAACATCCACATAGTCCCGTCATTAGCAAGAGCAGCAGCAATCGTTGAGTAGAATACAGAGGCTGCATGAAACATCTTCTTCAAATCGGCATCGGTTCCTCTAAACGTTGTAGCATTGTCACTGTATAAGTTCCTCCAGATTCCTTGACGACTCACGAAACGACGGAGGGCCGTGATGAAAGCACTAGAAGTAAGATCACTGACGACCTCCAAGTGTACAGCCTTCGTAGCAAAGCAAATAAACAATGCGACATAACCTTTATATGATTTTTGCCCTCGGCCCTTAGAAGTACGCACTTGAATTGGCCAGGCGTAATCGATGCCAGCCATCATAAATGGTCGAGCAGGTGTTACACGAGCCGTTGGAAGGTCGCCCATGAGTTGATACGCTGTACGAGGTTTTCGACGCTGGCATTTAACACAGTTGCGTATAATAGATTTAATTAGGGGTCGCGCTCGCAAAATCCACACATATTGCGTTATAAAATTTGCTGTGAGAGTGGGACCACCGTGAAGCGCAATGCGATGGGCCCAACGTACAAACAAACGACTAAGTACAGAGCTTCGCGGTAAGATAGTAGGATGCTTTCGCTCGTATGATAACAGAGAATTTGTCAGTCGTCCACCAACGCGTAGAAGACCATTGATTTTACAAACAATAGGATTTTGATTGCACAGCGCATTGCCCTTGGGCAGTGGTCGACCTTGCTTCAGAACTTGAATTTCACGAGCAAAGAAACAAGACTGAGCACATCGAATAAGTGCATTCTGGTATATGTAAGTTCCGCGGCAGTGAGTGCAGAAGGTAATGGTAGCAGCCCATCCCTTTGCCTACGTAATGTTTTAAGAGGCCGCAAGCAGTATGCCATAACACGAGTTAAACGCGACAAATCCGAGTATCTGGAAAGGAATTCAGGTTCACTTATCTTTGTTTGGGTGTGCAACACTTTCACGACTATCTGCGGTTGGGGTCGTTGACTGGATGAGCGTGTGAGCCACGCTGGCCCATGCCACCATAAATCGCTCGACTTTATTTCACAAGGTGTCACGCCACGAGTGGCCAGATCTGCCGGATTATCCTTGGTAGAAACGTGAGACCACTTAGCACTGGGCAACTCAGTTTGAATAAGTGATACGCGGTTTACCACAAATGTCTTCCAATGACAGGGATGTTTAGCGAGCCACGTAAGAACTATTTGACTATCCGTGTACAAAGACACGGGTACTACCTTGAGAAAATCTAGTTTTCTAAAATGGTTTACGAGTCGAACTAACAGTGTCGCGCCACACAACTCAAGATTTGGTATGCTGACCGTTTTAACCCATTAACGTCCAAAATGTCAAAATTTCTTGCACGTTTTCAAAGTGATTTTTTCCTATGTAATTGGCGTTGAAAAAATTCTTGAACCACATATTCTGATGTAAAATTGCATGCTCTTTCAGAATCCGTTGCCAGAATCATGATAAAACTCACAGGAAAAGAGATATGCTCGATTGAAACATAAAAAACACCTAAATTTTCGAAAAAAAAAATTTTTAGGATTTTTTTTCGAAGTGTTACGGTGAAGATATCACCTTGCGACCGTGATCAAAGGTGATCATGGGATTTGAAATTTAACAGGGAATTTTTTTGTTTACCTTGAGCCATCGCTTCTTTACAAAATGGCGGAAAAAACGAATTTTTTTTTTTTCAATCTTCATCAACTTTTTTCTCAAAATCTATGGTCTTTAGAAAAAAATTCATAAAATCAAAAATGCCTTAAAATCGCTCGAGGAACATTCTCAAATTTTTTCAGAATTTTTTGAGACAATTTTTGATTTTCCGGGAAACTTGGGAAATGGAATTTTCAAAAATGTCTCCAAAAATTCTGAAAAAATTTTAGGATATTTCTCGAGTGATTCTAAGACATTTTTGTTCTTATGAATTTTTTTCTAAAGTCCATAGATTTCGAGAAAAAAATTGATAAAGTGAACATAGCGGCCGAAACGAATTTTTATTTTTTCAACTTTATCAATTTTTTTCTCGAAATCTATGGACTTTAGAAAAAAATTCATAAGAACAAAAATGTCTTAAAATCACTCGAGAAACATACTAAAATTTTTTCAGAATTTTTGGAGACATTTTTGAAAATTCCATTTGCCAAGTTTCCCGGAAAATCAAAAATTGTCTCAAAAAATTCTGAAAAAATTTGAGAATGTTCCTCGAGCGATTCTAAGGTATTTTTGTTTTTATGAATTTTTTTCTAAAGACCATAGATTTTGAGAAAAAAGTTGATGAAGATTGAAAAAAAAAAAATTCGTTTTTTCCGCCATTTTGTAAAGAAGCGATGGTTCAAGGTAAACAAAAAAATTTCCTGTTAAACTTCAAATCCCATGATCACCTTTGATTACGGTCGCAAGGTGATATCTTCACCGTAACACTTCGAAAAAAAATCCTAAAAATTTTTTTTTTCGAAAATTTAGGTGTTTTTTATGTTTCAATCGAGCATATCTCTTTTCCTGTGAGTTTTATCATAATTCTGGCAACGGATTCTGAAAGAGCATGCAATTTTACATCAGAATATGTGGTTCAAGAATTTTTTCAACGCCAATTACATAGGAAAAAATCACTTTGAAAACGTGCAAGAAATTTTGACATTTTGGACGTTAATGGGTTAACTGGAGCTACGTTCGTTACGTGCTTGTCCGTCCTTATTGATAATGCGAATGTAAACTACGGCAGCATATGTGCGAGCAGAGGCATCGGAAAAGCCGTGTAATTTATATGAGAGATTAGAGGACAATCCGAACCAACAAGTGATAGAGACTTCAGACAGACTGGTGAGAGAGAGACGATAATGTAACCAACGTTCGCGTAATTCGACCGATAGTGGATCGTCCCAACCACTTTTCACGATCCATAAATCTTGCATTAAAATTTTAGCAATCACCGTAACCGGAAACACCCACCCCAATGGATCGAACAAACGTGCTTTAACTTTACTTAGTTTTTCTTCTATCTTTTGTAATCTCTTGAGATATTCTAAGGATGAATGTCCTAATCTAATATATGCAAGAGTTGACGGCCTCCATGTGCTTGGATCGAGCTCTGTTTTAATTATCCCGATGAAAAAAGCCGGCGCTGACTTATACAGATCAACAAATTGCATTGGCTAGGGAAGGATGGAGGGTGACATAAAAATCTACCGAAAATTCAAGTATAAAAGGTTCAATATAAAAGGTATGTTCGCGCAACGTCTTTCATCAGCTTTTTTGGACGTCGGACTCACCTGTCTGTCCTCCGAATTTTAAGGTTGATAATAACTATCTTTTATCAATTAATCTTAGTATACTTAATATTGAAAGAGGCCTGAATGGCATTAGTGAATTCTCAAAGCCGGGGCCTGATAATCTATCAGCATATTTTATTACACATATTAGGATTGCACTTGTTGAACCATTATATTTGATTATTATTTTGAACTATATAATCAGTCACTAGCGCAGAGTGTATTTCCTGTTGTCTGAAAGAAGTCATATGCGATTTCTGTGTAAAAAATAAGGGTGATAAGAGTGATGTAATGAACTATCGTTCAATTGCCAAGATGTTCGATGGTTCTTCTTCTCCAAGTTGTTTGATGGTCTAGTTACAGATAGTGTTTCATCCTTCTTTTCTGTGGCATTAACCCTACTCAACATGGCTTCTATTCTCTTGGGTCTACATTTACATATCTGGCTGAATTTGTTGAGAATCTGGTTGATGTTTTGAACGAGAAAGCCACTCGTTTCTTATCAGTAAATTGAAATGCTTTGGCTGAATCGGGGTCTTACTGCGCTGGTGTATGTCGTACTTGGTATTTCTTCTATCCCGTATATGGCGTCATCGGGTGTTCTGTAGGACTCTCATCTAGGTCCACTACTTTTTATTGTCTTCATTAGCGATTGTTTTACGGCCATCAAATATTCAAAGATACTCTTCTATGCGGATGATGCTAAGTTTTTCAAAAATGCTTCAGTTGTTGTTCGAGTTTATGAGCTTCAGAATAATATTGAGGCATTTTACTCTTGGTGCATGAATAATGGATTAAGTGTGAATATTTCCAAGTGTACAGTCATGTCATATGTGCGTACCAAATGGTTTTTTCACCGTAGATATTCGATTTGTGGAATAACTCTCGAGCACGTTACAGTATTTGAAGATCTCTTAGTCACATTTAATAAGAAACAGATATTTTGTCATCACATTACTAGTATCAGTTTGCCTGCATCAAGGGCTCCGTCATCAATTTTGCGTGGGTCATGTGATTTCCGAAATTCTGGTACATTGATTGCTTTATATATTGCTCATGTGCGGTCTATTCCAACATATGCAGCTGTTGTTTGGACTTCGTATCAGAAGTACAATATAGCAAAACTTGAATAGGTTCAGCATCGCATTATCTGATTTCTCTCAAATCGTTTTGCTAAGGCAATGCATCTTTTATCGCATGACTATTTTAATGCTGCAAAACACTTTGGCATTGATTCGGTAGCATCATTTACTGAGTATCAGACAGCATTATTTCTGTATAACATCTGTCATGGTCTTGTAAATTTTGACTTTTTCAATGAAAAGATTAGTTTTGTTACATCTTAGAGAGCTTTGCCACGGTTCGCTTCTGACGATTTAAATGGGCCAAAAATATACCTCAAATCTGAACGTGGATTCCTTTTATGCATGTATTTTTATGATATTTAGAACAAAAATTAAAGAAATCCGTTAGACGCTTTTTAAAAAAAGTAAAAAAAACAAAAATTGAATAATTAAATGTAAGTTATCTGTACCTAATGTCAGACTACTAAGCGCAAACACTCATAACTTTTGACCAGAATCGAATTTTTAATCTTATAAAGACTCATTCTAAAGCTGCTTTCAAGAGCTTTAAAATGAGTAGTCGCACAATTATTTTAATAGTACCTGCTCTGACTTATGATACTTTAAAGCGAACTGTTTTTTTCGAAGTTTTCTTCGGTTTTTTAACTAGCAATTTTTATGGGAGTCCAATAGGAACAGTTGAGTAAAAACAGTAATCGAGCTGTAATTCGGCTTGTATTTACACTAGAGAGATTTTTAAAAACGTTTTTGAAAGGGTAAAAGATGACGAATCCAATGGTATATTGTTGTTTTTGGTTTAAGAAAATTAGATAGCTTAAATTACACATACTCACCTTAGGAAACGTCGTAAAATAAGAAAATTCAATCACTCAAAATAAAAAAAGCTTTTTAAAAAGTAAATCGACTTTCTCAACTAATTTGAATCAAGGAAATTTTCATTAAATAGCAGACTACAATATTAAAAATGATTTTAAAC